ATATATATCAGTTGGCCATTAATTTCTTTCTATTTATAGTAGAGACGGGGTCTCGCTCTTGCTCAGGCTGGTTTGAACTCCTGACCTTGAGCAATCCGCCCGCCTCGGCTCCCAAGGCTAGGATTTACGCGTGAGCCACAGCGCCCGGCCTCTATGTATTTTTAGTCGTCCAATTAATTTCTTTCTATTATAGTAGAGATGGGGTCTCACTCTTGCTCAGGCTGGTTTCAAACTCTGACCTCGAGCAATCTGCCTGCCTCGGCCTCCCAGAGTGCTAGGATTACAGGTGTGAGCCACCACGCCCGGCGATAAATGACTATTGAAGTGCGTTTCTTAATCTGGATCTTGAAAGGAGTATTTTAACTTTAGCGCAAGTGCCAGTACCTGTGATCCTGGTTTCATTGCTTTTATGCTTGGTGTATTTGCCATGAGGCTGAGTGAGATGTTTACTATAGTTGGACTCAGGACTGCAGTGGTTTCCAGACAGAGTGTGTTTTCTTCTATTCTGTTGTACACAATATTTTCTTTTGAGAAAGTGTCTAATATATTTGTCTTTCCAAACATTAACTCTTGGGCTGCACTGGGATGCCATTTCCTAGACACTGGGACAGAGTCCCCATGGCTTGCTTTGATATTGTTGAAGATTTCTCCTTTCTGCTCAGGTACTTATATAAAGCTCTCATCATGCGGAAAAAGAGACCTACTGTCCCTACTGGTCTCTGAGAACAATCCTGCTTATCTGAGTATTTGGAATGTTCCTTGTTACTTTGATATCATGACTGTTACATCATTTCTTAAATAAACAATGATAATTGAATTGGTTACAAATATCCAAACCTTTGTGAACAATCCAGTTTTTAATATTTATTTTAAAATTCACCTCTGTCATTCCATCAAATATTTCCATTTTGAAGGTTGTATACATGGAGGCAGTTCTGTACACCTCATTTCCATCTCTGTTCCCTTTTTCCAGGAAGAATACAGAAATTCCATGCCTGCATCCAGTTTTCAACAGCAAAAGCTGCGTGTCTGTGAGGTCTGTTCAGCCTACCTTGGTCTCCATGACAACGACCGTCGTCTGGCAGACCACTTCGGGGGCAAGTTACACTTGGGGTTCATTCAGATCCGAGAGAAGCTTGATCAGTTAAGGGTATGTTAATGCATTGTGTTCTGGCGACCTGAGGAGTCTTGTGGTTGTCTTCACATTTCTTTAATTTTTTTTTCTTTTTGAGACAGAGTCTCACTCTGTTGCCTGGGCTAGAGTGCCAATGCGTCAGCCTAGCTCACAGCAACCTCAAACTCCTGGGCTTAAGCAATGCTCCTGCCTCAGCCTTCCAGGTAGCTGGGATTACAAGCATGCACCGTGCCCAGCTAATACTTTCTGTTTTTAGTTCTTTGGCTAATTTTCTTTCTATTTATAGTAGAGACGGAGTCTCACTCTTGCTCAGACTGGTCTCAAACTCCTGAGCTCAAGCAATCCTCCTGCCTCGGCCTCCCAGAGTGCTAGGATTATAGGCATGAGCCACCGCGCCCAGCCAAGGTTTTTTAAAATTAAAGAAATCTGGGCTGGGCATGGCGGCTCACACCTGTAATCATAGCACTCTGGGAGGCCGAGGCGTGCGGATCGCTCGAGGTAAGGAGTTTGAAACCAGCCTAAGTAAGAGCGAGACCCGTCTCTACTATAAATAGAAATAAATTAATTGACCAACTAATATATATAGAAAAAATTAGCCAGGCATGGTGGCACATGCCTGTAGTCCCAGCTACTTGGGAGGCTGAGGCAGGAGGATCGCTTGAGCCCCAGGAGTTTGGGGTTGCTGTGAGGTATGCTGACCACACGGCTCTCAACTCTAGCTTGGGCAACAAAGAGAGACTCTTTCTCAAAATAATAATAAAATAATAAAAAACCTTGTATTTCAAAATAATAATAAAATAATAAAAAACCTTGTATTCTGATCCTGTAAGAACTTGAGTTTATAGTGAAATACTCAGATTTCATCACTTGGGTTTACATAAGAGATCTCACAATCCAAAGGAGTCTTTGAAGTTTAGTCTGTAGCCCCTTGTTGACGGAAGACGACAGAGTCCATTCCCAGGGTACATACAGCTCTGTGTACCTCTGAAAGACGTTCTCTTTAGAGATAGGGAAAGATTGTGCATATGCTTAGGCTAGAAGGAAGATCACACGCCTTGGCCCCTGCCTTTGAGCTGCCTCAGAATGATAAGGTGGTGATGGGGTTTCCTGGTAGCACTGACCACCCTGGTCTACACAGTCCTCCTTCCTTTTTCAGAGCTCTTTGTTTTCCTGCATTGGGCTCTAAAAATTTAAAATCTTTCATACAGAATGTTAAGAAGGAAGGTTGTATATGTTTCAGATACTTTGAATTGTCCTCCTTCACATTGATGGAGAGTCCCCTGCTGCATATTAGGACCCCAGGGTAGGATGTTGGGCAATTAGTCAGCCTTCATTCTACACACCCTAAGCGTGGTGGAAGGACAGACACGTGGCACCTGACTGTGGACATCAAAGCTATAGTGACCAAGGCCGAGGGCCTTGTGTGCCCCAGGAAGGAGCCACTCGTTCAGGCAGCAGACGGCAGGACTCTGTACCCAAGGAGGGGGTGCCCATAGGTGATGTAAACCTGGGCCCAGGAGTGAGAGCTGGGGTAGCAGTGAGAATATTCTCAGCCATTGCTCTTAAAACATTTTGCTTCTATGTTCCCAAGAGAATTTTGTTGTGTTTTGACACAGGATCTTCCTCTATTGCCTGGGTGAGAGTGCAGTGGCATCATCATAGCTCACTACAATCTCACACCCTTGGGCTCAAGCAATCCTCCCATCTCAGCCTTCTGAGTGGCTAAGACTACAGGTGTGTACCACCACACCTGGCTAATTTTTGGAAAGACGGAGTCTCACTGTGTTAACCAGGCTGGTCTCAAATTCCTGGCCTCAAGTTATCCTCCCACCTCAGCCTCCCAAAGTGGTGAGATTATAGGTGTGGGCCACCATGCCTGGCCCCAAAGAGAATTTTGAAAAACAGTGTACTCTGCCATACTTTTTTTTTTTTTGAGACAGAGTCTCGCTTTGTTGACCAGGCTAGAGTGAGTGCCTTGGCATCAGCCTAGCTCATAGCAACCTCAATCTCCTGGGCTCAAGCAATCCTTTTGCCTCAGCCTCCCGAGTAGCTGGGACTATAGGCATGTGCCACCATGCCCAGCTAATTTTTTTTTATATATATATATTAGTTGGTCAATTAATTTCTTTCTATTTTTAGTAGAGACGAGGTCTCGCTCAGGCTAGTTTCGAATTCTTGACCTCGAGCAATCTGCCTGCCTCGGCCTCCCAAAGTGCTAGGATTACAGGCGTGAGCCACTGTGCCCAGCTTTGCCATACATTTTTAAGTTGATGTTTTTCTTTGTGAGTCTATAGATATAAAAGATATAAAAGTATTTTATATATATATATACACACACACACAATAAAATATGAATAATAATTTTTTTATCTGCTATCATCCCCTTACAAATTTGCTTTTTAGGTGGAGGCAGGAGGAGTACTTGAAGCCAGGAATTTGAGACCAGCCTGGGCAACATAGTGAGACCCTGTGTGTATGAAAAATACAAAATTTAAGTGTGGTGGCTTATGCCTGTAGTCCCAGCTATTCGAGAGGCTGAGGCATGAGGATCATTCAAGCCCAAGAATTGGAGGTTACAGTGAACTATGATCATACCACTGCACTCCTGCCTGGGTAACAGAATAAGACCCCATCTCTAAAGAAAAAGATTTTGCTTTTTAGCTATTGGAAATGTTACATTGCTATCTCTCCTTTAAATTTATGTTCCGTATCACCCCCGAATTTTGTCCTAATGTACTGTTTTTTTATATCTGAAAGATTTTTATTAATTTGTATCTCTATTTCAGAAATGTAAATCCATTGAAATGTTTTTCCTATAACCTTAAGTACTAATTTGAACTAGAAAGCATGTTTTATCATTGTGATTATTATAAGCAGTTTACAGTTGATCAAAATAACAGATATGTTAGAAATTTTAATAAGTATTATGTTAACCACAAAACATAATTTGAAAGTTTATCTCTTAATGAGGAGGGCAGGAGTTCTGTGCCCTAATTACAAGGAGGGTTCACTCATAGTAATCCAAAATGTTTACACCTTAGTGGATAAAAATAAGGCTTTGCAAGGGGCGCAGTGTCTCACGCCTGTAATCCTAGCACTCTGGGAGGCTGAGGTGGGAGGATCGCTCAAGCTCAGGAGTTCGAGACCAGCCTGAGCAAGAGCGAGACCCTGTCTCTACTATAAATAGAAAGAAATTAGCTGGATAACTAAAAATATATAGAAAAAAAATTAGCCGGGCATGGTGGGGCCTGTGGAGGGTGTTGGTCTTTATTCCAGAGCCTTTTTTTTTTTTTGAGACAGAGTCTTGCTCTGTTGCCTGGGCTAGAGTGTCATTGCGTCAGCCTAGCTCACAGCAACCTCAAACTCCTGGGCTTAAGTGATCCTCCTGCCTCAGCCTCTGGAGTAGCTGGGACTACAGGCATGTGCCACCATGCCTGGCTAATTTTTTCTATATATTTTAGTTGGCCAATTAATTTTCTTTTTTTTTTAGTAGAGACGGGGTCTTGATCTTGCTCAGGCTGGTCTTGAACTCCTGAGCTCAAACGATCCACCCACCTCGGCCTCCCAGAGAGCTAGGATTACAGGCGTGAGCCACCTCGCCCAGCCTAAAAATTTTTTTTGTGGAGACATTGCACTTGGCTCTGAATTTTTAAAATGTCACAGTATATTATTTTTTCATGTATCGTCCTCTTCATTGATTGCAAAGTTTTAAAATAATGAATGTGTTCCTGTTTCCTAAGAGTTTCTCTTCGATTTTTATTTTTATTTATTTTTTTATTTTTGAGACAAAGTCTCACTCCATTGCCCCAGGTGGAGTGGAGTGGCGTCATCATAGCTCACTGCAACCTCAAACTCTTGGGTTCAAGTGATCTTCCTATCTCAGACTCCCAAGTAGCTAGGACTACAAGCGCATGGCACCACACTCAGCTAAATTTTTAAAAAATTTTATTCTTTGTAGAGATGGAGGTCTCACTGTTGCCCAGGTTGGCCTCGAACTCCTGGGCTCAAGCAGTCCTCTGCCTCAGCCTCCCAAAATGCTAGGATTGTAGCTGCAAGCCACCACGCCCGGCCTCTTAGATTTTTAAATTGCCAATACTTGAGATCATATAAAGGTGCTTTGTTAAGTAGCATTATGCACTCTAGCTTGTATAACTTACTCTTTCTCATTTCCCCATTTTTCATTTATTTAGAAAACTGTGGCTGAAAAGCAGGAGAAGAGAAACCAGGATCGCTTGAGGAGGAGAGAGGAGAGGGAGCGGGAGGAGCGGCTGACCAGGAGGTGAGCCTGGGGTGCTGGCACAGGGGAAACCTGCTCCATCCTTTGAATTGTTGCTTGAAATAGTCAAGATCTGCCAAATATCGAAGTGACTGCTAAAAGAAAAATAAGTAAATTCGCAGCATATTCAGTCTGATATGAGTGCAGGCCGGCCCAGGATCGTGTGTAGTTGCCAGGGAAGGGCTCTGGGGCCAAGTGGTTAAAGGCAGTGTATAGGCTCTGGTGATTATGCCTGAGTGCTATGAGGCCATCGGCACGCAGAGGAGGTGTGAGCAGAAGGTGCCTGTCACCCTGTGGAGAGCAGTTGGGGTGGAGGCAGTGGAACTTGGGAGAGCTGGTTGGAGGGACCCAGGTGAAATTGGGCATGTTATGAGATTAGAATGGACAGGATTTGCTGGTAGTGTGTGAGGTGTGCAGAGGAGGAATGAAGCTGACTTCCTAGTTTCTGGCCTGGAGTTCCCTAACTTACTAGGGCAGCAGGGAAGACTGAGAGAAGTGTTTGGGATAAGTAGGTGAGTTGGGGAGTACAGTTTGCCTCTGGCCACATTCAGATGCTGTCTCTAGGGGGAGACTGATTGGAGTGCAAAGTAGAGGTAGAGGCCAGAACTAGCCATGCTCTCCTGAAGGACATAGCTCATTGTCCTCAAAAGTTCCAAAAATTATGCTTTCCAGGAAGAAAATTCCTCAGTGCATAACTCAGAAGAGGCATATGTTTATTGTATTTTGTGTTTCTTTTTATAGTTTCAATTATCCAGCAGTAGATTCTGATTGTAAAGAGACCCAAACAGTATGGAAACCTATTAAGCAAAACACACAGTTCCTTTTTGCACAGAGTTGACTGATGTCGTTATTGTGCATGTTTGCATGCAGTTGAGTTTTAGGCCACGAGAATTGCAGGTGGGACCAGTTGTCTTTAATGGCTACACAGTGTCTTAGAACGTGTGTAGAATGAGACCTGGAAACGTGCCTTTTTCAGATTGCTAGTTGTGTGGCAGTTCTGGCTCCTGTGACCCACCTGACTGCTAAGCCTGTGTTTGGAAATTAGAGCTTTACTTTCACTTTGGTATCTTTTTCTTGAGGTTAGGTTCATGACCAGCCCAGCCTGTGTTCTGTGTCTGTACGTTCCATGCTGGTATCCATTGTATGGACCTTGGAGAGCCATTTAATGGACTCCAGTGCAACACAGTTAACCCTCAGCATGCACAGATTTCCTACAGGCCTTGTGACTTGCAGCCTGTGTCTGACGTCTGGGTACTGAGGTGCCACTGAGTATGCCATGAAGTAGCTGGGGGAGGAGCCAGCCTTCTCCCGTGGGGGGTTTCTTACTGCAGACTGGGGGTGAGCAGCTAGAAGAAAATAGGGCTTGGGTGCAGGTAGTTATGCACCTCTGGGATTTGGGCACCTCCAGTCAGAGGGTGACGAATGGGGGTGCTTTTGTGAAATTGTTCACCTTTTTTCCCTTTTTAGGTCTGGATCAAGAACCAGAGATCGCAGGAGGTAGGTTTTCAGATCCATTAGTGTATTCTCATTCAAATGTCTTTCTCCATGAACATTTTTCTTAATTCTTTTAACCTCATGATTGTAATCTGGTAGGTACAGTTGGCTTGTGAGGGGCACAAGGCATATAGGGGTTGCTTGTGGCTTAGCGCAGTGAGCGGATCCACTGCTGATGAGTGGGAAGATCTGAGGGTGACCAGGAGTGTCCAGGCTAAGTGCTTTCAGGAGGCATCCTTAGGTAGGGTCTGCCCCTAGAGACTAACTGATAGGAATACGTTAATTCTAAATTGTAAATTTGTGGGAGGAAGGAGGATTATGTTAGTAAAGCAGTGAGCAGAGCTTCCCGAGAGAGGGGCCTTGCAGGGTGTGGCCCTTGGATGTCAGTGCCTGTGGCGTCTCCACCCTCAGAGCCTTCTGATTGTTCTAGGTCACGCTCCCGTGACCGGCGTCGGAGGCGGTCAAGGTCTACATCCCGGGAGCGACGGAAGTCTTCCCGTTCCCGGTCCCGAGACAGACACCGGCGCCACCGCAGCCGTTCCCGGAGCCATAGCCGGGGACACCGCCGGGCTTCCCGGGACCGGAGTGCAAAATACAAGTAACTACTCTGACTCCTTCAGTATCTGCAGCCAGGAGTGAGCCCCTTCTCTTTTGTGTTCCCAGGGTCTTCTGGGGTCTGTCAGTGGGGCCCTGGCCTATCTGGTAGGGCTGGGGCTGGGCTTGCACTCAGAAGTGTGGCTGGGTATCTGTGGGTCTGAGTGTCTGGGCTTTGGGGAGTCTGCAGGCTGTGGAAGCGCTCAGACAGCACTGCAGGAACTACACATGCACCTCCCCAGCTTGAGCTCTGGGCCCCTGTGCGCTGCCACTGATACACAGGGCGGCTGAGACTCATGGCCTGACCAGGCCCTGTTTACCTTTGTGGTTTTTTTTATATTCTGGGCTTTTTTTCCATTTTACATAGTGGATCATATTCCATGTGTATGATCTCATTGTATTTTCCTTTGCTCCCTTTATGTTAAATGAGGTCTTACCTTATTAAAATTGTTGCAGAGGTCACTTTTTAATGGCTACGCAACATTCTCTGTGCAGGGGGCAGGCCTGGCTGCCCTCCAGCCTGCCGTAGTTTCCTGGGGTGCAGTGGGTTCGTGGCCTTCCCTGGCCTGGTGCTGAGGCCCACACTGTTGTCCTGAGCAGCCAGCCAGGAAGGGGCCAGCAGCCTCCACTGAGCTTCTGGTTCCCACTTCCCAGGTTCTGCAGAGAGCGGGCAGCAAGAGAGGAGTCCTGGGAGTGTGGGCGGAGCGAGCGGGGGTCCACTGACTGGAGGCTCGAGAGCTCCAACGGGAAGGCGGCTTCACGGAAGTCAGAGGAGAAGGAGGCCGGCGAGATCTGAACCCACACCTGGGCTTTGTAAATAGTCTGACAAATGTTCAACACAGCCTAAAATTACCCTTTATATTTGCTGAATACAACTCATCTTTTGTAGTTTAAAATTTCTATTGTTTTGGAGCTAGCTGTGAGTTTCTAGAGTTGTACAGAGTTGCTCCTGTGTTTTGGGGTTGTGTTGAGTAGGAATAAATAAATATGACGGACTGCCTCCTGACGGCTGCGGTGGGCGTCTGTGCTTCCTCTGCTCTAGGGACTTCACCTTGGCCCTCTGCAAGTGGAGGCGACTCACTGGTGCTACTGTCACCCCCAGAGAAACTGCAGCTTACTGTTGGATACCTTTTGGCTTTTGGCACCTGGTATGTGCCAGGTGTGTATGGCTGCTCACTTGGTCCCACACACCCTTCTGAGTGTCTGAGCTGCCATCTCCACCCGCAGTGCAGACCATTGAGCCCACTTCACTGGGGAGGAGGGAGCTGGCCTGTGTGGCCACCTGCTATCACAGCCTCAAGCTGGGACTCTAGCTCACAAAGCTGTGCTGGATTTCTCCTTTTGAAGGTACTTAGGTTAAAGAAAGACTGTGGATAATACCCATGTGGCAGCAGGAGGTCCTCAGAGGAAAGAGATGCTGGCTTTTGGGTCAGACGTCCCTTGGGCATTGTTGTGTCCAAGGTGGGCCGGTTATGTTAACCACTGTCAGCTCTTCTGCTCAGATACCTTAACACCAAAATGAAACCCTTCTGAAAAGGATGACTGCTAACTGACTTGTAGTTATGGATGCTCCTTCCCTTCTTCACTTTCCTGGGGGAATTTTTGGTTTTTTTTTAGAGGAAGCTTCTGGTGGTCACATCATCAACACAAGAGCCATTCGCATCCCCTGTCTGCAGAGGCATAAGTGCCATTCTTGAGCTGAGTTATCACAGGGTGCACATGGGCACCGGGGTCTGTGTCCTGCAGCCACCAATGTCTTAGTGTGGTTAGTGTTCTGCTTCTGGCTGCCCTGCCACTGTCTGGCACCTGCAAGAGGACGTGTGGGTAGGTGGGCTGCTCTGCTGCCTGTGACACAGTCTTCGTCGGCCAGCTGACTCCACAGGAAGGGGGTCAGGAGGAGGCGTCCTGTGCAGAACCCACTTGGGCTTGGTACTGTGCCAGGGAGTGTCACCGTATGTCTCTACTCCTTACTAGCACCTTTTCCTGCAGTGAGACTGAGGACAGGGACTCAGAGTGCTCTCTTGGTCTCCTGGGAGCAAGGGATGGAGTCTGGACTCCCTATTCCCAAGCCAGCATTGTGGGAGTGTCTGGCTGCCAGGGCCATGGGTTTAGTTTGCATCCTGGCTTTTCCTGGGGCTTAACCAGACGGCCCCACCCTCAAAGCCATTACTACTGTGAATGGTTTGAATCCTCCTCTATCTAGATATAAATTTGCGTGTGTGGACAAACAGTTGTGTTTTGCTTTTTTTTTTTGGCCAAGGAATGAGGTTTACCAAAATAGGTACTGTACCAGTGGCCTCCAATACCCACATCCCCTCTGTCCTCTGGCTATAACCAAGGGACGAGTTCTTGGGCTGCATTGCTTTGCCCCTGGGCTGTCCCTGATAGCCCCAGGCTAGTGCTGCCTTCTGGGGCACCCTGCATGTTGGGAGAGTGAATGGAGTACATGCTCCTGCCTCCCTACCTTGCAGGGACAGTTCAGTGGAACCTTTGTACACCTATCAGGTGGTCCTGGCCAAATTGAGCCCCAGGGAAGCCTTCATGATGCACTCAGGATGGCTCTACCTCCCTCCCACTCTCCTTACTACTCCTTGCACCAAAGTCTACTTAAAGTCTGCTACAGGGGACCCACATTTTCATCTTCTCACCCATTACAGTGAATGAGCTCTTCCTGTCCACAGCAGTGCCTGTAAGACTCGCTGAAGATGGACAGGGGGGGAGTGAGTCTGGGAGGTGTGTCCCTCCCTTGTGAAGGAACCTGCAGTGTCAGGAGGGTCTCCCAGTCGGAACATACCCAATTTCTCCACCCACAGGGGTACCACCACCTCCGCCTGCAGCCCAGGTTGGGGCAGAACAGAAGGGGCCTTGCTGGAACATTCTCTGCTTACACTGTGGGTAGACTTTTCCACACATTGGTGACTTTTTTTTAAAAGAAAAGCAGGGTAAATGGTTCCGCATGGTGGATGGTGTAGCCAGCTGGGCAGGGGCTGTGCCTGGCACCACCACCTTTTCCTCCTGCACATGGGTCCCCTTGGGTTTGGGGAATGGGCAGCCCTGAGCAAGTGGGAAGCCCTGAGCAGGTTAAGGTAGGTAGGACTAAGGTAGTCCTGGGAGGAGAGGGGAAAGGACAAGAGCTGAGGTTGTGGGTTCCTGACCTAGCTGTGTAGCCATCACCCAACATGCAGGTGCTGGGCTGTAGCAAGCAGAGGCCTCCCATTTTGGGGGGCAGGAGGTGGCATCCTGGAGCCAAGGCTGCAGAAGGGAAGGGGTATTGTAAAATTTATTATAGTAAGATATATAAAATTTACTATTTTAAGCATTTTTAAGTGTGCAGTTCAGTGGCATTGAGTATATTCACATTGTTGTGCAAACTTCACTAACATCTGTGGAAGGGTGGCTTTGGAAAGGCAGAGTGAAGATGTTCTTGGACCTGAGCACAGGCCTGGGCTCCCAGACAGCAAGCAGGGGGGCCCATAGCTGCTTCCCCAGAACAGGACACACCAGGTGGGTCTCAGACCAAGTAGGCTCCGCCCTGGGCCAGGGCCAGGTTCCCAACCCCTGCAGAGAGGGTGGGACCTGGCTCTTCCCACTTTGGTGCTGCTCTGGTATAGTCCTCCCCTGCTCACCCAGCCCCCAGGCCCACTGCCCAAGGCTGGCTGCAGGAGGCTGAGAGCCTGGTCCTTCCAGGCTCCTGAGCTTCCTGGGCTCCAAGTGCTTGCTCCTGAGCGTGGGACGCAGCAGGCAACGGGTCCTAACGCTCTTGTGGGCACAGAGGTTGATGTCACACTGACTGGGACGATAGATGCAGGAGCCTAGACAGACCAACCCAAGTGGATACCTGTAGGGCAGGGACACTGAGGGTGCTGAGAGGAGGTCCATGGGTGGGGGGCGGGTAAGGTTTTCACCTGCTTTAAAGCCTGGCTCTCTGTAAGAATAAAGTGACGTGGGAAAGAAACGGTTGTTTAAAGAGAAGCAACGGGCTTGGCACTAGCCTGTAATCCTAGCACTCTGGGTGGCCGCAGCAGGAGGATCACTTGAGCTCAGGAGTTTAAGACCAGTCAGAGCCAGAGTGAGACCCCATCTCTACAAAAAAATAAAAGCATTAGCTGGACATGGTGGTGACACCACTGATAGTCTCAGATAATCCTCGCTACACAGGAGGCTGAGGCACGAGGTTGTAGTGAGCTGTGATGATGCCACTGCACTCTAGCCCCTGCACTCTAATCGGGGTGACTGAGTGAGGCCGTCTCATAAAAATTAAGTAATAAAAAGAAAAAAAGCAGGGATATAGGCCAGGAGGCAGCTGCAGTCCTCCCCACCCCCTGCCAGGAAATAGCCAGGTGGGCCACTGTGAAGGGTCCCTCGTGGGTCAAGGTCACAGTGGATTCCAGCCCCTCGGCTTCACCCAGGTTGGGTCTCCACCCTAGCCAGGGAGGAGTCCTGCTCTCCTCACCCTCACTTGGTTCTGGCCAGTGGGCTGGGGCGGGGTACAAGTGATCAGCACCTACCGTGGGTTTTGAGGGTCTCCTAACCCTGCATCACTGGCTGCCATAGCGGAGAGACCCTGTAGCCAGGGCGGGCAGCACTTGTGGGTTGCCTCCCCATCCACCCTGGGGTCTTTGGCCAGGTCTAGGACTAAGCCTGAGGAAGGGAGGACTGGGAGGCCTGTGCTGGCGCCACAGCCTGCGTGGGACCCAGGGCAAGGCCCTGTTAGGGAACACCCCCTGGCAGACAGTGAGCAGGTCTTGGGCCCTCACTGGGCAGCCCCTCTGCTGGGGGCTCTGAGGGCTTCCTAGGGAAGGTAGTGCCCAGCTGTGATCCGGGCAAGTGAAGGAAGGTCGGACTCCTGCCGGGGAGTGGGACCCACATGTGGCCCTGCTTTTGGAGAGGTGGGTCTAGTGAGGTTCCTGGGCCACATGTCAGAATAACCTGGAGGACCTAAAACAGGTGGCTGGGCCCTACCTTAGACCTTCTGTTGGTCTGGAAGCGGCTCCAGAATGGATATGTTTTTTATTGATGAAATACATGAAATTTAATATTTTAACCATCTTAAAAGCATACAGTTTAGTGGTTTTTAGTATACTTGCAGTGCTGTGCTGTCTAACCACTGCGTAGCTTTAGACCATTTTTCATCACTCCCAAAAGAAATCTCGTCACTGTTAGCAGTCACTCTCCATCCTCCCTGCCCCCAGCCCTAGACAACCACTACTTTGCTTTGTCTGTAGATTTGCCTCTTCTGTGCATTCATGTAAGTGGAATCACATAGTATGTGGCCTTTAGTGTCTGGCTTCTCACCAAGCATGTTTGCAGGACGCATCTTCACTGTACCCTGCATTAGGGCCATCTCCTGAGGGAACAGTGGCTCTTGACTACTGGTCTGAGGGGCCTGGAGCCACTGGACACTTGTCTTCTGGGCAGCAAGGAGGGGGACCCTGGAGCTGGGGCCCAGCTCCAAACCCTGAGTCAGCCTTCAAAACCAGCACACACTGGACCCTCTGGTGAGAGCACAAGCAGACACAGTACCTGTTCTGTCTGGGCCTTCATGTACTCAGGTTATGTCCGCTGTACTGTCTCTGCTTGGCCACAGACAGTCCTCCACTGTGCTTCCCCACACACCCACAGGCTGTCCCACTGCTGCCCCTGGGCACTCTCCAGCTTCTGAACCTGGGGCACAAGGTCTGCAGACACTACTGGCGCATGCAACTTGATAGATCCAAGGTACAGCCCGGTGTGGAAGGGGTGGGCGCTGGGAGGGCCAGCCCCAGGGCTCCTCGGGGTCCCAGTTTCCTGAGTGTCCTGCAGTGACCTTCCAGCCTTTTGCTTGTGCTGTTCTCCCTCCCTCCCTCCCTGCTGCCCCACCTGCACCTCCTGCTCTACCTGCTTCCCACACTGCCTCCTCTCAGACCTTTGGTCAGCAAGGAGGGAGCAGGTCTTGCCCTCCCTGAGGGGTTCTGTGAGGGGACAGGGCCTCCTAGAAAAAGGGGCATAAAATTAATCATGGCAGTGACATCCCATCTCCCTTACCAAATTGTCTGGGTTCACAGCATGTCATGGATGGCACCCACTAGGATGGCCGTAATCTAAAAAGAGAGAAGAGTGTTGGTGAGGATGTGGAGAAATTGGAACCCTCATACATTGCTAGCGGGAGTATAAAATAGTACCACCGCTGTGGAAAATGGTCTGGCAGTCCCTCAAAAAGTTAAACAGAATGACCATACGACCCAGCAATTTTACTATACACCCAAAAGAATTGAAAGAGGAACTCAAGTGCTTGTGTACCTATGGGTTCTTAGTACCACTATTCAAAATAGCCCAAAGGTGGAAACAACCCAACATCTTTGAACAGATGCTGAATGAGTAAACCGGCAGTATATCCATATAATGGAATATTATTTGACATAAAAAGGAATGAAATTCTGACACATGGCTCAGCATGGATGAACCTTGAAAACATAATGCTAAGTGAAATAAGCCAGACACGAAAGACCACGAGTCGTCTGACTCCATGTATAGGAAACGTCTAGAGGAGGTGTGCCCATACAGAGTAGAGTTGTAGTCTTCAGGGGCTGGGGCTAGCAGCGGAGGGAAGGGGAGTGACTGGTAAGGGGTGCAGGATTTCCTTTTGGGGCAATGAGAAAGTTCAGGAACTGGATGAGGACAGTGGTGATGGCTGCACAACATCATGACTGTACTAAGTGCTCCTGAACTGTACACTTAAAAAATGGTTGATTTGGGCATATTCTCAACTGTGGAAAAACGAAACAAAGATGGTTCAAAGTGTAAATTTTATGTTGTGTGTTACTTACCATATTTGAAAACGCAAACCCCACATTTGAAAGGAGGTGACTACGCACAGGTGTGAACATCAGGAGGTGGGATTCACGGGGGCCACTTTAGCATCTGTCCCCACCAGTTATTAGTGACACTTCTTTGCCTCTGTGCTTTTTGTCTTAAAGTCTATGTGTCTGATCTTTATCCTTTATTTTGGTCAATTAAGTCATTATAATCAATGTATTTAACAATATATGTAGGTTTATTGCTACCATCTTATGTTCAAATGTCTCTCCACCCAATCCTTGTTTGAGGAAAGGAGGGAATTACCCTGTGGGTGTAGCAGTTTGGGGAACCAGTTTCTTTCTTTCTTTCTTTTTTTTTTTTTGAGATAGGATCTCACTGTGTTGCCCAGGCTAGAGTACATTGACTTCATCATAGCTCCCTGCAAACTCAAACTCCTGGGCTCAAGCGATCCTCCTGCCTCAGCTTCCTGAGTAGCTGGGACTACAGGGCACAATACCATGACCAGCTAATTTTTTAAAATTTTTGTAGAGATGGAGTTGTGCTGTGTTGCCCAGCCTGGTCTTGAACTCCTGGCCTCAAGTGATCCTCCCACCTCTGCTTCCCAAAGCTGGGATTACAGGCATGAGCCACCACACCTAGCCTTGTTAGCTTTTTGATGCTTTTAAGATTTACAAGACTTTTCTTCTGAAAGCTGCCAAAAAGAAAAAGAAAAAGAATTACAAAAATTGTATCCAGTTTTTTGGTTATGCAGGAGTGAAATTGTAGCCTCTCCTCCCAGGTTGGAAATGGTGGCCCTGAGCAGGCAAAGTCTTAGAGGCAGTAATGGGGGCCCAGAGGTCTGAAGGAAGAGGGCAGTAGAGCCAGCAGGGAGCTGTGTGTATGATGAAAGGATCACCTCCCAAATCATAAAGATGGAAGAAATGGGCAAGTAATTGCAATAAATAATTGGACTAAGAGGTCTTCTACGCCCCATAGTACTCAGAGATAAAAAATAAAAACAACAAAAAAAAAGTAATAAAAAACATCCTAATAGTTAAAGAAAAAAGTCTACAGGTCTATAAGCAACACCATGGCTGGAAGACAGGCAAAAAAACACACGGGCAGTTCACACAGCAGATGGAGACGACAAGCACAGATGGGCCTTCACTGATCATCGCCAAATAAACGTGAGCTCCCAACCATGAAGAGCAGTCAGGAACTCAGGCTCTGGCCTCCCACTGATGAAATTGTAGTGAAGGCAGTTTTGGCAATATTATGCAAAAGCCATAGCAATGGGCACACCCCTTTACCCCAGAAATTCCATATCTATAAAAATTCCTCAAGGAAGTAAATATGTATGTTTGTGTGTACAATTTTGGCTACAAATATTCAGGGCAAGGTTTTCTGCAAGTTATTTGTAAAAATGAAAACCACATAGACCTAAGTGAAAAATCACTCACACCTCAATCACCTTCCTTTTCTGGGATTATATAAAATGGTGGCAGTTGCCTTCTCTGTCCCTGTAGTCTTACACCCGTGGAAAACTGCCAACATTCATTGTGTATTATTTTCAACTTTTCTTGTGACTACATTAATATAAAGATGGATTTATGCTCTATACATTGGCCTGCAGTGTGTTCTGTTACATGAGTCTTGGCATGCTCCATGTCTGTGCTCAGAGACTGATTCCCTTAAAGGATACACAGTGTTCCCTTGTATGACTCTACCATAATTTGTTTAACCTATCTCCTAATGATGAATGTGTTGGTTGTGCAACATATTTTTTTATTTTTATTTCTCTGCTCTAATAAACAGTTTTGCAAAGAATATCCCTGTACATGCATCTTCATATATGTGTGCCACTATTTTCTGTTGGATAAATTCCCAGAAATAGGATTACAGGCTTTCAGAGTGTGCACTCTTTGGATTTAAAAGATAAAACCAGTGGTATGATGTCTCATGTTAAATTGTCAGAAATTTTGAAAACCAGTTGTTAAACACAGCCACTATTAAAAATTAAATCATATTAATTTAAAAATAGATCATATTAAAAATAAAAGTAATAAATACCAAAAACTCATTGCTTCCTAATTATGTTACTACATTTCACTATTATCTATGTTCCTGTTACCTGTGTTAATGTCTCTTGTGTCTAGAGAGTGGAAATATGATACAATAGTAGCTACTATGCATCTCTTCCTAATTTCCTGTTTGATGAACCATATTGATAGCTTGAAATCAACCATGGCAGCAGTATTTACAACATGGAAATTGTTGAATGCTACAAGTCATCCCCCCTCCTCCTCTTCCACAGTACCACTTAAACATTTACCAGCTCACAACTGTACACAACTGAGTTACCTTCCTAAAAGTTAATCTGCATGGCTTTGAATATCATTGCAAATGTCTATTGGCCATTGGTATACTGTGAGTTGCCTGTTTATCCTTCAGCTTATTTTTCTGTCAAGTTGACTGACAAAATAATTTGGAGGTCCATCTTGGGGATAATAACCTTTTTCTGCTACATGTAGCAAATATTTTCAGGAAATTAGGGAGATGCATAAAATTATGACCCTTTTTTTCTTCTCTGTATTAGCTAAGTATCTCCAGAGAAACAGAACCAACAGGGTATATATAGATATAAGGAAGAGATTTATTTTGAGGTTTTGGCTCACACAGTTTTAGGGAGGCTGAGAAGTCTCATGGTCTGCTATGTGCAAAGCGGAGGTCCAGGAAAGCTGGTGGTGTAGCAGTTCCAGCCCAAACCTGAAGGCCCAAGAATCAGGGGAGCTAATGCTGTAAGACCTGAGAACCAGGAACACTAATGTCCAAGGGCAGGGGAAGGTGGCTGTCCCAGCCCAAGCAGAACAGATTCGCCCCTCTGCCACCTTTTTGTTCTATCTGGGCTCTCAGTGGATTGGATGAGACCCACCCACATAGCCGAGGGCTGTCTTTACTCAGTCTGCCAAGTCAAATACTAATTTCTTCCAGAAACATCCTCACAGACGTGCTCAGAAGTAATGGGGCTACCAGCCACCTGAGCAGCCCTTAGCCCAATCAAGTTGACACATAAAATTAGCCATCACAGTCCCTATACTGTTTTTTCTCTTTATATGGTCCAATTTCTCCACTTTTTCTCAGTTTCACTTTGAGGATGCCATTTCTGAATGTGTCTGGAGGACATAAACGCTGTACACAAACGTTGCAGCTCTGGGTGGGGCCTGTTTCTGCCCCGTGTGTGTGGTATGTCTGTGTGTGTCACGCTTGTGCTGTTGGAGTGACTTCCACGTCCTCTGCTTGTTCACACGTGACAGTTTGCCATGTGTAAAGTAGGAACTGAAGGAATGTTGGATACACTGGACCAAAAAAGCTCCAGCTGCCCTCTCTGTAGAGGTGTGGGGTGAAGACAGGGTTCTGAGCTGGAACCGGGGCTGGACCCACCTCCTTCCACCAGATCCCAAGTCTAGCAACAAGGGGCTTTCCCCACAAGCCTCTCAGATACCCTAAGTTCCCAGTACCCGCCAGAGGCACTGCACAACCGCAGGCGGGGCCCTTCGCCGGCAGGGGGCGCCGCTCCCTCATTTTCTCAAAGGCTGTGCCCAGGGTCCCGACCCACGCGCCACCCCCAACGCCGCCCTCCGCTCCAGGGGGGCGAGGATTCTTGCGATGGCACCAGGCCCAGCTTCCCTGGACCTGAGATGAGCCCGAAGGAGGACTAAGGGGACAGCCCTGGGGACGGGCAGGGATGGGGACCAGGGCAGCCTGTGACACCTCCCCACCTACTGCCCCACCCTGAGCGGCCCAAGTCGCAGGCCTGTGCCCCCCCAGGGGCCTGGTGTGTCAGGCGGGATTCACCGTACGGGATTTGGGACCAGATGCTCGAAATCTGTCGGCGGCGGGGGCGGCATGCACCTCCTCCAGTCGCCCTCGCGGAGGGGCAGGACGGTGCGCCCCAATCAGTCATTTGGGGGGCCGGAGGCTCAGGCCTGCCCCAGACCCCCACCTTTCCTTTGGGAGGGGCCCTCGGTCGCGTCCCGCCCCCCGGAGAGAACGCGAGCACGAGGGTGCGGCCTTGGGGGACTTTACTGAAACACGGGCCTCAGGGAAGCGGGCGACTGGGGGGTCCCGCGACCACCCGCCCCCGGCTTAGCGATATTTGGAGGCCAGGGCCGAGATCGCGTGGCTCAGAAACTTGTCCAGCGAAGCGTGCAGGGCCGGGCTGAAGTCTCCGGGGAAGTGCCGGGCGAGGGTCACCAGCAGACACTGGCCCAGGAGCTGCGGAGACAGGGGTGGCTCACCCGTCCCCCCTCACCCCGTCCTCATGGGATCCCACCCCGGCCCCTCATGGGGTCCAGCCGCGGCAGGCTGCTCACCTGGAAGTTGGCGGGGTCCACACGCAGCTCGCGCGCGTGCAGGTCGCTCAGAGCCGACAGCGCGCCGGGCAGGTCGTCCAGGTGGTCGACGGCGAGGGTCAGCGCATCCGCCACCTTCTGGCCGTGGGCCTTGACCTGGGCGGAGCCGGGGCGCAGGTCGAAGTGGGGGAAGTAGGTCTTGGTGGAGGGGAAGGCCAGGAAGGTCCTGGGGAGGAACGGAGGCTGAGGCGCATGCCGGCGCTGGGAGCGGGGCGGCAGGTGAGCCGGAGAGCGCCCAGCCTCGCCGCACCTCTCCAGGGCCTCGGTCGCGTAGACGCCGACGTTGTTGCCCAGCTTCTTCCAGAGGGCGCGCACTAGCGCGCGGTCGGTCGCAGACAGAGCCATCCTGGCGCCCGGCCGGCTGCGCCCGCGTCTGCGCCTCCCGCCGAGGGGTCCCGCGGGCCGCCAGGGGGCGCCGCTCTGACCTGGCGCCCTCCGACTCGCCCTGGACCCCATGCCCTTCATTTCTTAAGATTCTTTTTTTTTTTTTTTTTGAGACAGAGTGTCGCTTTGTTGCCCAGGCTAGAGTGAGTGCCATAGCATCAGCCTAACTCACAGCATCAGCCACAACCTCAAACTCCTGGGCTCAAGCGATCCTCCTGCCTCAGCCTCCCGAGTAGCTGGGACTACAGGCATGTGCCACCATGCCCGGCTAATTTTTTCTATATATATTAGTTGGCCAATTAATTTCTTTGTATTTATAGTAGAGATGGGCTCTTGCTCTTGCTCAGGCTGTTTTCGAACTCCTGACCTCGAGCAATCCGCCCACCTCGGCCTCCCAGAGTGCTAGGATTACAGGCGTGAGCCACCGTGCCCAGTCCCATGCCCTTCATTTCTAAGTGTTTACTATATGAAAAATAATATTTAATGTGCATTATCATTATTAGATGATAACACTGAATTTTAACATGGATTTGGGCATTGGAAATCAGTTAATTCTGCCTCTGAGTCTATTTACTCATTTTCTGTATAAAATGAGGATAGCAATTTCTTGGGGTTGCCGTGGGAGTTAAACTGATAGCAAATGTCAAGTGACTGGCTCATACCAGACATTCCTTTCAGGACAATGAATATTTATCGAATGTGTAGGATGTATCCCAATAATAATAGCAGATACCCATGCAGCACTCACTCCGTGCCAGGTACCACTCTATACCTTTTTTTTTTTTTTTTGGAGCAGAGTTCACTTTGTGCCCAGGCTAGAGTGAGTGCCGTGGCGTCTGCCTAGCTCACAGCAACCTCAAACTCCTGGGCTCAAGCGATCCTCCTGCCTCAGCCTCCCGAGTAGCTGGGACTACAGGCATGCGCCACCATGCCCGGCTAATTTTTTCTATATATATTAGTGTGGCCAATTAATTCTTCTATTTTATAGTAGAGAACAGGGGTCTCGCTCTTGGCTAGGGCTGAGATATTAATAGAACATCCAAGACATAATGAAGCAATCGCCCCAACCTCAAGGGCTCACCAGAGTATGACTTAGGATATTCAGACTGAAGCCACGCACCTGGCTCACTCTATACCATTAAAAAAAAGTGCTATTCAGATATAGTAAAAAGGCAACATTAATATGCATTTTATTAAAATGTAACAACAGAAAGCATGGGCACAGTTGGGCTCATACCATGCAATTACTCTGGGAAGGACGGGCGACGTGGATACCAGAATCAAAGTATAGAAACTACTAGCAAGAGAAGACCCGTCATCAATAAAATAAAGGGGAAAATTAAATGGCAACAGAATTTATATAGAATTAGACCAGGGCAATAAGGAATGGGATACATGCCTGTAAATCCAGCTAGCTATGGGAGCATGAGGCAAGAAGAGATCGATCGAAAGCCCCTAGGAAAATAAATAAAAAATATGAGGTTCCATGTGAGTAGACTTGAACACACACGCAAACTAGCCTACAGAGCAACAGAGTGAAGACTGTTGTCTCAAACAACAAAGACAACAGAAGATAGTATATCAGATATATAAGTACAATGCACACTGTTTTGTACTTTACCACTCTCTAGTTAAGAACTTTTCAATCATTCCCAGACCAGAAAATTAGCAGTGACTCCCAACACATATATACACAGACACATTGCACCATAATAATGCTTTTTTTTCTTTTGTGATTTGCCTTGTTTCTGGGTATTCATGGTAATGAGATCACACAGTTGTGGCACATTTTGGTGTCTGGCTCTCTCCATACAGAAGAGCAATAGAAAGTTTGTTTTTTTTTTTTTTTTTTGAAGAACAGAAGTCTCTTTGTTCCAGCTAGAGTGAGGTGCCGTGGTTCACTAGTCCAGCACCTCAAACTCAGAGACATACAAAGACACCACTGCCTTTAGCTCCCGAGGAAGCTGAGACTACAGGCATGCCACAAAAAAATAAGCCCCCGGCTTAATTATATACATATAATACTAGTTGGCCATTTAATTTTCTATATATAATAAGAAGGGTCTCCATCAGGCTGGTTTCGAACTCCTGACGTCAAGTAATCCGCCCACCTCGGCCTCCCAGAGTGCTAGGATTACAGGTGTGAGCCACCGCGCCCAGCCATGATGTTTTAAAGTTTCAGCCACATTCTACCTGCAATTCATTTCTTCTTGTGGCCAAATAACATTCCACTGTGTGTATATACAGACCACATTTTGCCTGTCATTCATATACTGATGTACATGTGTCCTGTTTTCTCCTTTATCGCAGGCTTCCATTTTTCCCAACAAAAGAATGAAGATGGCCTCTTACCGATAGTTCATACATGCCACAGGCTGTGCTAAGAGCATCACACATGGAGGCAGAGGGCCTGCCATTAAGTATTTTCCAAGGAGTATTCTTGGGCTCAGGGAAGAAAGGACATTGCTCTCCGTGGAGGGCTGGGGCTGTGTGGCTGCCAGGCCTGGGCACCCCGAGCCTTCCCTCCCATGCCCCACACACTGGAGGCCTGCTTGGCAGAGAGCAAGCGCATGGGGGAGGGGCAGGCCTCCCTGGTCCTGGCTGCCTCTCCACTGCCCCACTTGGGTAGGGCCAACAGCCTCAGGCCAGCTGAGAGGGTGCTGGGCTGGGTCCAGAGACTGGGCCTCCTGGGCTGGATTGCCCTGGGACACCAGCGTCTGGGAGTAAGCGTCATCCTGGGGTGGCACCAGGGTAAAACGGGCACCTCCAGAGAACTGTCTGGCATCTGCAACTGCATCACTCACTCCCAGTTTCATCTAGACTCTGCCGGTATTTGGGAGGCTTTAGGGAGACCAGTAGGGGAGAGGGGTGATTCAGCCCAGCCGGAAAGGGGTGGGACCTCCTTGGCCTCCCCACATCTGGCAAGAGCCCTAGGAGAGCTGGCAGTCCCAGGCTGGAGGCCAGTTGATTCTTAGTGCAAGTGTGTGTGTGTGTGTGTGTGTGTGTGTGTGTGTGTGCGCGCAAGTCCGGGACTGAAACGCAGGAAGGGGCAAATAAATGCAGAAAAGCACTCCAGGGTCACTAGGTTTTCCAGAGTATCCTGAGCAGCAACCTCTAGACAGCTCAGCTCCCCTCTCTTCCCTCCCATCCTGTCCCCTGCTCTTTCCTGTCCTCACCAGCTGCAGAGACACTTAGGGGTCGAGCCCCAATGCTGCCCACTCCCAACCCTGGCCCCCTCCCTGACAGAGAGGACTCGGGCACACAGGCTGCCACCACTCAGACTTTATTCAAAGACCAGGAGGTGCAGTGCTAGAGGGAAGAAGGGCGTGGCCCAGAGGCCCAGGGGCAGGGGGCGCGGGTCAGCGAGGCTCCAGTTAACGGTATTTGGAGGTCAGCACGGTGCTCACCGTAGAGAAGAACTTGTCCAGGGAAGCGTGGACCGCAGGGGTGAATTCCCCAGGGTGGTGGCTGGCCAGGGTCACCAGCAGGCAGTGGCTCAGGAACTGTGGAGAGGGAGTGTCAGGGGGCGTGGGGCCCACAGTCTGCCGCCTGCGCCCCCCCCTTGGGGACTGCGGCCATCTGCCCTGAGGAAGGCCCGCTGCCCTCCCTCCCCAGGTGTCCCCCCCCAGCCGGCCGGCTGCTCACCCTGAAGTTGACCGGGTCCACACGCAGCTCGTGCGCGTGCAGGTCGCTCAGAGCAGACAGGGCGGTGGGAATGTCATCAAGGTGGTTCACGGCGTTGCCCAGTGCGTCGGCCACCTTCTTGCCGTGGCCCTTGATCTGGGTGGAGCCGTGGCTCAAGTCAAAGTGGGAGAAGTAGGTCTTGGTGGTGGGGAAGGAATGGAACATCCTACCGGGAGAAGCAGAGAGTGAGGGGTGGGGTTAGGTCCCGGGCCAGGCCAGCGAAGGGTGGCCAGTGGGCCCTGGGCGGGTGTTGGGCTCCAGGTCGGGGAGGGAGGGAAGGGTCCTCACCTCTCCAGGGCCTCGGCGCCATGGTCGCCAGCATGGCTGCCAATCGCATTCCAGGCGGCCTTGATGTTGTTCTTGTCGGCAGCAGAAAGCACCATGGTTGGTTCCTTCTGATTCTGGGTCGGGGCCAGAAACGTGCCGGGCGGCAGAGCTCCGCGCCTTTATGGCCGGGGCACGCGGGGCGCGCCCAGCCGGGCGGCGCTCATTGGCTGGGGCGCAGCGGGCGCGCGGGGACCGCCAGGCGTGCGGGCCGGGCCGGGCGGGTCCCCTCTGGGAGGCGGCGTCCTCCCCACCGCGGAGGGGCGGGCCACGCCGGCTCGCCCTCTCGCGTCTCGGCTTTGGCTGCCTGGGCGTCCCCGTCCCACCCGCCGCGGGCCTGAGCTCCACACGCGCCCTGTGTTAACTGGGGCGTAAGCGAGGGACGAGTGGCGGCCTCCGTCTTCCAGTCCCCTTTCCTTCCACTAGTCGTCAGTGTGATCGAGTGACAGTCACGGGGAAGGAGCAGATATCTATCAAGGGGCAAACTTCGCGGGGCCAAGGGGGGTGGCCTTTGCTGCAGCCCCAGGTCATGCGCTCACAGGGGTGCCCCCGCGTTTAGGGCCTCTGTGTGACTGTGTGAGTGCCTGTCTCTGTCCCCACTGCCCGGTGGTCTTGGTTCACGACTTGCAGGGGAATGGTGGTTAAGTTGATAAACAACAGGCTGAACCAGGCCTGAGCATTCGACCCGAGGGACACAGGCAGTCCTCAAATCACAGGAATCCACAGACCATGGCAAAGCTTGCTAGAGGCCTTGGTGAGGTTGAGGGGACCTGGGTTAGTCTGAGGATCAGGGTGGACTTCCTGGAGGAGGTGAGACTTAAGGATAAGTATTAGGTAGAGTTGGGGGAGGCTTGGCTTGGGAGTGCAGGAAGGAAGAGGAGAGAAGGGCCCTGTGGCTGCAGAATGGAGGTGGGGAGATTGGGGGTGATGAGGCTGTCCAGAGCCTGCAGGGTAAGGGGGGGCCTTGTGGTGCTGCTGTGAGAAGGGGCAGGTATCGGCTAGTACAGCCCCTGCTGGTGAAGAGGGTGGCTCCCCGGACCAGTGGGTAGGCAGAGGGTACCGGTATGGCCTTTCCTAGGGGCCCAGTGGAAGACCTTGCTTTGGGGAGTGAGTTGTGTGGCATCCTTCAGCCTGTCTGGCCACCTGATCCCTGCCCCCCACCCCAGGACACTTACTCAAGTCTGGCTGTGGGTGTCAGGAGGAAGTGAACTGCCTCTGCCTCTGCCTCTGGCTCTCAAACTGCCTCTGGCTGAGAGGGGAATAGCTCAAACAACCCTTAGCAAAGCTCCCTGTGGCTCCCTGCCTCTGCATCAGGAAGAGCCTGTAGTTGTTAGTTTTGCTTTGCTTTGTTTTCATCTAGAGTGTGTTTAATTGAGATCAGTCAGGGAGATTTCAAAGGAGGGTGTCCCCTTTAGGACTCCCCACATCTTTCCCCTAAAAGGAGCCCCTGGATGCCCTTCTCTCCTCCCCGGGTCCTGAGCCACTGCCTGCTGGTCTGGCACCTCCCAGACAGGAGATGGTTGGCGCCTTCTCTGGCGCAGAACCCCTCAGTTCTCCTCCCTCCTTTTCCAGTGCTCTCCCCTCCCCCATGCAGCTCTGAGATATGGAGAAACACCCTGAACCCTGGCCCCCTCCCTGACAGAGAGGACTCGGGCACACAGGCTGCCACCACTCAGACTTTATTCAAAGACCAGGAGGTGCAGTGCTAGAGGGAAGAAGGGCATAGCCCGGAGGCCCAGGGGCAGGGGGCACGGGTCACCGAGGCTCCAGTTAACGGTATTTGGAGGTCAGCACGGTGCTCACCGTAGCAAAGAACTTGTCCAGGGAAGCGTGGACCGCAGGGGTGAATTCCGCAGGGTGGTGGCTGGCCAGGGTCACCAGCAGGCAGTGGCTCAGGAACTGCGGAGAGGGAGTGTCAGGGGGCTTGGGGCCTACAGCCTGCCGCCTAAGCTCCCCCTTCAGGAACTCGCAGGCCATCTGCCCTGAGGAAGGCCCGCTGCCCTCCCTCCCCAGGTGTCCCTCCCCAGCCGGCCGGCTGCTCACCTTGAAGTTGACCGGGTCCACACGCAGCTTGTGTGCGTGCAGGTCGCTCAGAGCAGACAGGGCGGTGGGAATGTCATCAAGGTGGTTCACGGCGTTGCCCAGTGCGTCGGCCACCTTCTTGCCGTGGCCCTTGATCTGGGCGGAGCCGTGGCTCATGTCGAAGTGGGAGAAGTAGGTCTTGGTGGTGGGGAAGGAATGGAACATCCTGCCGGGAGAAGCAGAGAGTGAGGGGTGGGGTTAGGTCCCGGGCCAGGGCAGCGAAGGGTGGCCAGTGGGCCCTGGGCGGGTGTTGGGCTCCAGGTCGGGGAGGGAGAGAAGGGTCCTCACCTCTCCAGGGCCTCGGCGCCATGGTCGCCAGCATGGCTGCCAATCGCATTCCAGGCGGCCTTGATGTTGTTCTTGTCGGCAGCAGACAGCACCATGGTTGGTTCCTTCTGAGTCTGAGTCAGGACCAGAAAGGTGCCCCGTGGGCAGAGCTCTGCGCCTTTATGCCCAAGGCGAGGGCTGAATGCCACTGCTGGGCTACGCTTATTGGCTGGGTTGGTGCCATAGAGGTGCCCCACCCAGGAAAGTGCCAAGGGGCGGGAGTAGGGTTGGGCAAGTTGGCCAAGGCTGCTCTGTGTCTCTTGGTCCTGCCCCTGCGGAGACTCTGTTGTGTTTCCCATGCTTCTCCACCCAAAATGCCCCCACATGTGACCCTAACCCAGGGCAGCTTGGGGGTGCCTATTTGTCGGGTTGAGGAGGGAAGCACAGTCCTTTCCACATTGAAACAAAATCCGCTTTTGCACCAAACTTTTCATAGGACTGAAATCTATTATAATTAATTATCCATGTAAACAACGGAGGTGAAGGAGGTAACATGGGATCGAGTTCTCCAAGTTCTCCCCTCCCCACTGGTGGACTGGTGCTCCCAGGCAGCACAGGGTAACAGGTTGCTGGCACCAACCTGTTGCTGGGGGCAGTTGGGCCAAACTGTCTCTAGGGCCCAGCTTCCAGCGTCACTGTTCAGACCTGGGCACTGACTGCCTGGCAGGTTGGTGCTTCCCGAACAGATCCACAGTCGTCCACCGAGGAACTCTCCTCGTTCAGAGTTTAGGGAGTTCCTGGTCCTGATCACTCCTTAGCCCTGTCTGCAAAGCTGGGGTGGAGCCCTACAATTCTTGGTCCTGTCCTGCCTGGGGAGAGAGGAGGGAGACCTGGGGGAGCTGGGCCTTGGCCAGGGCACCTGCATACTGAGATGCAGCCGCTGGGCTGGGCTGGGGTGGGGTGGCTATGAGCCTGCCAGGCACTCACCGTTCACTATGATCCGAAAACTATTTCAAAGATCTAGTGAGTCTGGTATTTTTTTTTTTTCATCTGTTGGATGAGGCTCAGAGAGCTCAGGGAGGGACATGCCCAGGGTCATACAACTTGTCAGTGTGAATCAGTTGGAGCCCTGCTGTCTGCCAAATTGTGGCTACTGAAGACTTCCTCCCTGCTCTCCCCCAATATGTCACGAGGTTTGGAGGAAGGGGTTGACTTGGCTAACACAGGTTTGCTGCAGAGTGAGCATGTCCCCCGGGAGGAAGCAGAAAGGAACAAGGTGAGGATAAGAGGAGCCCAGGCTCCCGTTCTACTTGGTCTGAGGTCACATACTTGGCCCTTGGGGCCTCAGTGCCCTGTCTCTGTAAAAGGGGCGAGGCTTCCTGCCAGCAGGTGCCAGCACGCAGTGGGGACTCAGAGCAGTGAGCGAATGAGTGAAGGCAGATGCGCTTTTCCAACCTTGCGTGGGCAGGCGCCAGATTTGAGTTGAAGTGGAAGACACTCTCCGTCCTGGATCTGAGCACTTCCTCTGCCCTGTGGCACCCCCCTGCCACAGTGGAGCACAGCTTTGGGCAGGCATCAGAGAGTTCTAGGAGGCTTGCCGCTGTGGAGGGGAACCAAACTTCTCTACCCAGTAACAGTGAGGTCACCTTGCCCTCTCCCCAAAGACCACACACACTCAGGGTCCAGATGTTTGAGGCCTCTGTTTATTGACAGGCATAGACCAAGGTCTGCAGGTAAAGGGCTCAGTCAGAGGTACTTGTCCCTCAGCAGCACAGCCACGCCCATCAGGAACTTGTCCCTTTTGGCATGTGTCTGCACTGTGACCTCTCCTGCCAGCGGGAGGCCAGCACCACCTGGAAACACTGGATAAGCAGCTGCCAAAGAAGGAGCCAGTGAGAAGGTGTCTGCCCCCCACCAACTCCCTCCTGAACCTCACCCCCCCACCCGCGGCTGCTGCTGCTGCTGATCGCTGGACCCTGACCCCGGACCCTGGAGGGCCCACCTCTAAGGGGACCGGGTCCACACGCAGCAGGTGCGCTGCAAATCAGCCAGGGCTCAGAGCAGCGCGCAAACTGTCCCTGCGCTAAACCGCCACACCCACAGCCCGGAGCATGGGAGGCTCGTGGCTAACCAGCTGCAGCTTGTGCAGACTGACACCCAGGTGCGGGAAGGAGGCCTTGGTCCTGGGGGACACTGCGAAGAGCTTTCAGGTCGGGAGTGGCGAGGACTGCTACGTGCGCTTTCACTAGCGCCGGCACCAGCCAGAGCCCAGGGGGACCCCGCCTGGCCTGTTTAGGTCCTGGCAGTCTAGGAGCCCAGCACCCTGGTCTCACCTCCCTGAGATCCCGGAACCCCGCCCCCACCCACCTGAGCCACAGCTCCGCCCCGAACTGCGCCTCTTGGCCCACGGTCAGGGCCCAGACCAGCGCGACTTGGGCTCGCCCCTGGGCGCCTAGCATGCCACCCTGGCCTCCAGATAGAGCTCTGCACGGCCCCCCTCCTGCCCTTATCGGCCTGAGCGCGGCGGGAACTTGGGGACTCTGAGCCCGTGCGGAGAACGTAGCCAGCGCAGCCCCCAGGTCGCCACGACCTCGCGGACCCCCGGGTTTCTGGCACCGCTGTGCGTGGGCGCCTTCGCTGCAGACTTTCGGGAGGCGTCTGTAATTACTCCCCTCAGATAAAGTTACTGTTCTGCCAGGAGGGAGCTCACGGAGGGAACCAGGGCAAACACCGGGCAGGAAGCCCCCTGTTCCCCTGCGGCTTGGGAGGGGAACAGCCCCTGGGACCTCCGCCGCGGCCTCTCAGAGTCGCGGGAGTTAGGACCACAGACGTTGAGCAAAGTCCCTTGATTCCCGACTACGCTGATTGGAGTGACAATCTTCGTGCGGTTTGGGAAGCTGGGGAGAGGCGCAAACGCCTTCTGACCCACGGACCCGCGGAGACCCTGTGGCCCGGCCAAGAGCTGCGCTGCTCCTCTGGGCTGCAACCCTGGGGTCCCCAAGGGGAAGAATCTCCCCAAAGAACCCTCCAAGTGTCCTCCAGGCCTGGGATGGCTCCAGAGTCAAACGCGTTCCTGCGAAACTCCCAGCCCATCCTTCGGCTCCTGGCCCCCGCACTGAAAAGGCAGGATCCAGAGAGCTTCCTCCTCATTGATTTATTGGGGAGTCGGGAGGAACAGAGGGGAATACTGAGGGGCAGTGGAGGGGTCGCTGCCTGCCAGGGGTGGGGGGTCTGGGCGGCGGCGCTCAGCGGTACTTCTCGGTCAGGACAGAGGACACGATGGACAGGAACTTGTCCCAGGCGGCGTGGGCCTCGGCCGTGAAGTCGGCGGGGAAGCGCGCGGCCACGGTGACCAGCAGGCAGTGGGACAGCAGCTGCGGGCGCGGAGGGCGGCTCAGCGCGGGGGGCGTGTTCCAGCCCTGCAGCCAGCCGAGCCCCTCCCCCACCTGCCCTGCGGGACCGCCCCCGTCCTCGCCCGCCCGCCTGCCCGCGCGCCCACCTTGAAGTTGACCGGGTCCACGCGCAGGATGTAGGCGTGCAGCTCGCTCAGCCGGGCCAGCGCGCCCGCGATGTTGTCGATGCTCTTGACCGCGTCGCCCACGGCGGCCACCACCTTGGAGCCGTGCGCGCGCAGCTGCGCCGACCCCGCGTGCAGGTCGAAGTGCGGGAAGTAGGTCTTGGTCTGCGGGTAGCTGAGGAAGAGCCTGCGGCGGGCGGGGCGCGAGCTCGAGGACCCCTTCGTGGCCGAGCAGAGGCAGCCCCCACGCCTTGGCGAGGCGCCCCTGCGCGCAGCCTGCCGCCCCTCCTGCGGCTGCCCCCACGCGAGGCCCTCCCCTCCGGCCGCGCCCCCTGCCCACGCCGGGCAGCCGCAGCTCCAGGTCGTCTCCTCTTTCGCGACCGGTGTGCACGCCCGGGTCCCCGAGTCCACCGCCCTCGGCCTCCTGCACCCGGGCATCGCCCGCCCGCGCCTCTCCCTGCCCACGCGGGCCTCCTCCGCAGCCCGGGACCAGCCGGCCGCTGCGCCTTCTGGCAGGACTGATGTCCTCCAGCTGCGTTTACGGAGAGGTCTCTTTGGGAAACCCTCCTGTCGCCCTGCCCGGAGACCAGATGCTCCGATGTCAGTGGTGGCGGCGACCTGCCTGCCTCGGAGGCGCTCGTCCTGGGAGGGAAACTTCCCGCCCTCTGCACGTGGGAGCCGGCGGGTGCCTGCCCAGGCCTCAGTGAGTGCGGCCGCGGGGTCGTGCACCTGTTCCTCTTCCCTCATTGCTGCTCCTGCAGACCCTCCTCCCTGTCCCCCTCCTCACTGACCCCCTCCTCACTGACCCTCTCCTCACTCACCCCTCCTCACTGACCCCCTCCTCACTGACCCCCTCCTCAGTGTCCTTTCCTCTCTGACCCCTTCTCACTCACCCCTCCTCACTGACCCCTCCACGATGACCCCCTCCTCACCCACCCACTCACCCACCCAGCCTCTGACCGGGTCCCTCAGGCAGTCCTGTCTGGGACTCACCTCTCCAGGGTCTCGGTGCCGATGGCATCGGCCTGCGTGGAGATCTTGCCCCACATGGACACGATGATGGCCCTCTCGGTCTTGGTCAGAGACATGGTGGTGGGGTGGGCGGCTGGGCTGGAGCTGGGCCTGCTCAGGACTGGCCTTGGTGACACTCAGCCCCCTGGGGTCCCCTTATATACGGGCAGCCCCACGCCCAGCCAGGCTGTGGCTGTGGGTGGGGATAGGGGAGGGGGCTGCAGGGGTGGGATTTCTTATCAGATCCAGTGACAATGGGGGCTGTGGGACTGGGGGGTGAGGGGCTATCACTCTTGCTGCCCTCCTCTCTGGGCCACAGCTGGAGCCCCAGGTTCCAGGGAGATAGGGGCCCGGGTCCGGGCAGGAGAGTCCACGTGTCCGCCCAGCCCAGACCGGCCTCAGGAGTGTGGTCCCGAACCTCCCTGTTGTGACGGGAGGGTGGCCTGGAGCAGGCCAGGCCCTCGCAGGGGCCCTCTTTATTCCTCACCGTGCTGATGCTTCTCTGCCTCCACCTTCTGAGCTCTGGATATGTATCCAGAGGCATTGAAACCAGTATGTCAAAGACACGTGTCCACTCCATGTTCATTGTGGCATTATTCATAATGGCCAAGATATGAAAATAATCCAAGTGTCCATCAACAGATGAATGAATTTTAAAATGTGGTATATATAGGCAATGGAATACTTGTCAGCGTTTAAAATGCAGGAAATTCTCTCATTTGCAACAACATGGATGAACCTAGTGGACATCAAGCTAAGTGAAATAAGCCAGACACAGAGAGACAAATACCTGTGATCTCACTTATATATGGAACCTAAAAAACCAAACTTGCAGAAGTAGACAGCAGGATGGTGGTCACCAGAGGCTGGGGGTGAGGGACAGACAGGGAAAGGAGGGGTGCTGGTCAAAGTGTACAAGGTTTCAGTTAGGAGGAAAGAATTCTGGCAATCTATTGCACAATGTGGTGACTATAGTTAACAATAATGTATTGTATGTTTCAAAATAGCTAAAAAAGAGAATTTTAAATGTTTTCACCACAAAAAAATGATAACTATTTGAGGTGATGAATATATTAATTAGCCTGATTTGATTACTACACAATATATGCATTTGATGAAACATCACATTGTATCCCACAAATACATACAATTGTTATTTATCAATTAAAAATAAAATATAGAAAACCTGGTCTGTCCATACAATAGAATATTATTCAGCCATAAAAAGTGTGCTCATACATATCACAACGTGTAACAGATGACCTTCAAAAGCAATATGCTGAATGACAGAAGCCAGACACAAAAGGACACATGTTGTATGATTTCATTTACATGCAATATGTAGAATATGCAAATCCACAGATTGCATAGAAACAGATTAGTGGCCAAGCTGCATGGTTTATGTCTATAATCCCAGCATCTGGGGAGCCTGAGGCAGGGGCTGGAGGCATTGCTTGAGGCCAAGGGGTTTGATACCAGCCTGGGCAATATAGTGAGACCCTCTGTCTCTATAAAAAGTTTAAAAAATTACCCAGGCTTGGTGATGTGCGACTGTAGTCCCAGCTACTCAGGAGGCTGAGGAAAGAAGATCGCTTGAGTCCAGGAGTTCAAGGTTGCAGTGAGCTAAGATTCCACCACGGAATTTTAGCCTGGGTGACAGAATGAGACCCTGTCGAAAGAAAAGAAAAGAAAAGAAAAGAAAAGAAAAGAAAAGAAAAGAAAAGAAAAGAAAAGAAAGAGAAAGCAGAAAGAAAGAAAGAAAGAAAGAAAGAAAGAAAGAAAGAAAGAAAGAAAGAAAGAAAGAAAGAAAGAAAGAGATTAGTGTTGCCAGGGGCTGGGGAGCAATTGTGCTGGAGTGTGAACAGGGAGCAACTGTTTAATGCAGACAGGGTTTGTGTAAGGAGTGATGAAAACGTTCTGAAACTAGATATAAGTAATGGTTGCATAACATCATGAATGTACTAAATACCACTGAATTGTGTACATTAAAGTGGTTAAATGGGCCGGGCGCGGTGGCTCACGCCTGTAATCCTAGCTCTCTGGGAGGCCGAGGCGGGCGGATTGCTCGAGGTCAGGAGTTCGAAACCAGCCTGAGCAAGAGCGAGACCCCGTCTCTACTATAAATAGAAAGAAACTAATTGGCCAACTAATATATATAGAAAAAATTAGCCGGGCATGGTGGCACATGCCTGTAGTCCCAGCTACTTGGGAGGCTGAGACAGAAGGATTGCTTGAGCCCAGGAGTTTGAGGTTGCTGTGAGCTAGGCTGACGCCACGGCACTCACTCTAGCCTGGGCAACAAAGTGAAAAAAAAAAAAAAAAAAAAAGGGGTTAAATGGTAAAGTTAATCTTATGTGTATATTTTCCCACAAGAAAAAAAGAATTTATTTGCAATTGTCTTAGGTGATTCTGTGATCTCTATTTGTGTCCCATCCAGAGCACATGATGTCAGATTGCCCAACTTCCCAATGGTAAGTTCGGTCACGTGGTTGAGGAGAGGACTGCCGGATATCTCCACCAGAAAGATATCTTTTCTCTTTTGCAATTAGCTAGTAATTTGGAAGTAATCGTTTTGGCCCCATGGAAATGAAATATGCTATTCCCAATAACCTTCATCCAATGGTTTTAGCAATCACTGATGATTTTTCTTGAATCAGTTATTTTGCTGGGGACATAGAATTGTGGTTTTCTAAATTTACGATTCCTTCTATATTGATTAGCTAATTTCTTCTGCAAAGAAAATTTCTGCATCAGTTGGGGATGAATGAATGATAGTTGCTCTAAAAATGTAGGATTTATGCTTAGTTATTTTCCTTTAATTGCTAGTTTTTTTTGTTTTGTTTTTGAAGCAGTGTCTTATTCTGTTGCTCAGGCTAGAGTGTGGTGGCATTATCATAGCTCACTGAAACCTCTAACTCCTGGGCTCAAGTTCCTGCCTCAGCCTCCTGAGTAGCTGGTACTACACGTGTATGCCACCATGCCCAGGTGATATTTTTTATTTTTCGTAGAGATGGGGGTCTCAATCTGGCTCAGGCTGGTCTCAAACTCCTGAGCTCAAGCGATCTTCCCACATCGGCCTCCCAGAGTGCTGGAATCACAGGTGTGAGCCACTGTGCCTGGCCATATTTTATTTTTGATGATGTAAAATATTTATATGATTCAAAGGCCAAAACTATGTAGAGTTAAACTTGGAGAAGCTTCCTGCCATCCCTCCTCTCCATCACACCCACCTTATCATGTGTGTGAGTTTCCAGTTTATCCTCCCATGGTTGCTGTTTGCAAAAATAAGCTACAGGCCTGGTGCGGTGGCTCATGCCTGTAGTCCTAACATTTGGGAGGCTGAGGCGGGATGATTGCTTGTGTCCAGGAGTTCAAGACCAGCCTGAGCAACATAGCAAAATATAGTAAGACTCTGTCTCTGTAAAAAATAGCAAATTTATCTGGGTGTGGTGCTGTGTTCCCATAGTCCCAGCTACTCCTGAGGCTGAGGTGGGAGGACGGCTTGAGCCCAGGAGTTTGAGGTCGCAGTGAGCTGCGATGACCCCACTGCACTCTAGCCTGGGCTGGAGTGAGACCCTGTCATAAAAAAAAAAAAAGCAAACACATGAGCACACACAGACATGCACAACACACACGTGCATGTTCACACACTTGCACACATAGCTATGCATGCACATATGTATACACACATATTTGTGTTTTCCCTCCTTTATTACACAAACTACCACATTATATGCATCATTCAACTTTTTTTCTTTCGTTTTTAACTTAATAAATCCTAGACATCATAACTGCACATAAATTAATAGAAATTATCCTCATTTTTTTCAGTTCCCATGTATCCATTGTGTGGACATTCATGGTTTATACAGTCAGTCCCTGATGATGGGCACTTGGGCTCTCAAGTCTTCAGCAAACCAAGATGCCCCAGTCACTTCGAGGCTCCGTGCCTGGCTCCCTCTGGCCATGGATGAGGGGGCTGCCTGCCTGGCGTGGTCAAACTCTTGGATTTTTGTCCATCAGGTAGGTGAGAAATGGACCTCAGTGAGGTTTTTAGTGTAGTGTTAATTTGCATTTCTCTTACTGAGTGAGTTCAGCCTCTTTCCCTCTTTCATTTCTGAGCTGCTGTTGACTATTTTCCCCACTAGACTGTCAGCCCGATGGGGCTTTATTTTAGCTGCAACACCCATAGCCCAGAAAAATGCTTGGGCTGTCTTATGCGCCAGTAAATGCTTTTCTAATTGCATGGAAGAGCGAATGAGTGCACCATACATCCGTCACTGCCCTCTTTGTTCTGATCATGCCTAAATCAGGAAATAGTGCAAATTCAGGAGGAAGAAGGAACACCACGGAGGGCCCCAGGGAGAGCCAGGGGGGCGGCTGGGCTCCAGCACTGCCCCAGAGTAAAGGTGCGGCCGGCCCTTTCTCCAAGCGCCTGGTCCCCAGAGGCCCCATACCCCGGAGCTGCCACCCTTCTGCCCTCCTGGAGACCAAGGACCCCGTGGCGCACCAGTGACCCCGGCGTCTCCTCACCTCCGACGCCCCTCCGCCCAAGGCCCCAGGGAAAACAGAGACCAGGTGGACTTCGATTTATTTATTGAATCACCACAGGGTAAGTGGGGACTGGGGAAACCCCTAAGGCAGGGGTTGGGTCGCTCAGCGGTACTTCTCGGTCAGGACAGAGGACACGACGGACAGGAACTTGTCCCAGGCGGCGTGGGCCTCGGCCGTGAAGTCGGCGGGGAAGCGCGCGGCCACGGTGACCAGCAGGCAGTGGGACAGCAGCTGCGGGCGCGGAGGGCGGCTCAGCGCGGGGGGCGTGTTCCAGCCCTGCAGCCAGCCGAGCCCCTCCCCCGCCTGCCCTGCGGGACCGCCCCCGTCCTCGCCCCGCCCGCGCGCCCGCGCGCCCACCTTGAAGTTGACCGGGTCCACGCGCAGGATGTAGGCGTGCAGCTCGCTCAGCCGGGCCAGCGCGCCCGCGATGTTGTCGATGCTCTTGACCGCGTCGCCCACGGCGGCCACCACCTTGGAGCCGTGCGCGCGCAGCTGCGCCGACCCCGCGTGCAGGTCGAAGTGCGGGAAGTAGGTCTTGGTCTGCGGGTGGCTGAGGAAGAGCCTGCGGCGGGCGGGGCGCGAGCTCGAGGACCCCTTCGTGGCCGAGCAGAGGCAGCCCCCACGCCTTGGCGAGGCGCCCCTGCGCGCAGCCTGCCGCCCCTCCTGCGGCTGCCCCCACGCGAGGCCCTCTCCTCCGGCCGCGCCCCCTGCCCAAGCCGGGCAGCCGGAGCTTCAGGTCGTCTCCTCTTTCGCGACCGGTGTGCACGCCCGGGTCCCCGAGTCCACCGCGCTCGGCCTCCTGCACCCGGGCGTCGCCCGCCCGCGCCTCTCCCTGCCCAGGCGGGCCTCCTCCGCAGCCCGGGACCAGCCGGCCGCTGCGCCTTCTGGCAGGACTGATGTCCTCCAGCTGCGTTTACGGAGAGGTCTCTTTGGGAAACCCTCCTGTCGCCCTGCCCGGAGACCAGATGCTCCGATGTCAGTGGTGGCGGCGACCTGCCTGCCTGGGAGGCGCTCGGCCTGGGAGGGAAACTTCCCGCCCTCTGCACGTGGGAGCCGGCGGGTGCCTGCCCAGGCCTCAGTGAGTGCGGCCCCGGGGTCGTGCACCTGTTCCTCCTCCCTCATTGCTGCTCCTGCAGACCCTCCTCCCTGACCCCCTCCTCACTGACCCCCTCCTCAGTGTCCTTTCCTCTCTGACCCCTCCTCACTCACCCCTCCTCACTGACCCCCTCCTCACTGACCCCCTCCTCACTGACCCCCTCCTCAGTGTCCTTTCCTCTCTGACCCCTTCTCACTCACCCCTCCTCACTGACCCCTCCACGATGACCCCCTCCTCACCCACCCACTCACCCACCCACTCACCCACCCAGCCTCTGACCGGGTCCCTCAGGCAGTCCTGTCTGGGACTCACCTCTCCAGGGTCTCGGTGCCGATGGCGTCGGCCTGCGTGGAGATCTTGCCCCACATGGACACGATGATGGCCCTCTCGGTCTTGGTCAGAGACATGGTGGTGGGCGGCTGGGCTGGAGCTGGGCCTGCTCAGGACTGGCCTTGGTGACACTCAGCCCCCTGGGTTCCCCTTATATACGGGCAGCCCCACGCCCAACCAGGCTGTGGCTGTGGGTGGGGATAGGGGAGGGGGCTGCAGGGGTGGGATTTCTTATCAGATCCAGTGACAATGGGGCAGCCAGGGCCTGTGGGACTGGGCAGGCTATCACTCTCGGCCGCCTTGCTTGACCTTAGAGGGGGTGTTGGCCACGGTCTGGCCACACAGTCCAGGAGCGATAGGGCCCAGCCATCCCAGGAGGTCATGCACACAGCTGCAGGCCAGCGCTGTGCTCTCCTTATCCATTTCAGAAGCACAAAATAGGGGAAACCAGAGAAGCAAGGCCCAAGACGCATCCTCCTAGGGAACCTGCCTGCGTTGTCCTCTGGTTAGCGTAGCCCAGCTACATGTCAGTCCCTTCCCTTTTTCTCTGAGATTGCTGGGTATTGCCTCTGAGGAGGCAAGGGTTCTGCTGACCCAGCACTGCTGGAAGAGGTGCTGGGTCTCTTTCCGAACCTGTGGAAGGAAGTAGCAGGTTGATAAGGGAATTTGCGTAATAATATACTATTAGGGATTGCAATATTGCTGTCCATATTGGTCATTGTAACAATGAGGCAAATATTCCTTTCAATTTAATATAAATTTAGTTTAAAAAATTTTTTTCGGCCAGGTGTAGTGGTTCACGCCTGTAATCCTAGCACTCTAGGAGGTCCAGGCAGGAGGATTGCTCAAGGTCAGGAGTTCAAGACCAACCTGAGCAACCTGAGCAAAAGTGAAACCCAGTCTCTACTAAAAATAGAAAGAAATTAATTGGCCAACTAAAAATATATAGAGAAAAAAATTAGCCGGGCATGGTGGCGCATGGCTGTAGTCCCAGATACTCAGGAGGCTGTGGCAGAAGGATCACTTGAGCCCAGGAGTTTGAGGTTGCTGTGAGCTAGGCTGATGCCATGGCACTCTAGCCCAGGCAACAGAGCAAGACTTTGTCTCAAAAAAACCCCAAAAAAACAACAACAAAAAAACCAAAAAAACAAAAACATACTTAATACGATAAAATTGACTTTTTAAAATACTTTTGTCTAAATTTGATACATGTTGGGCTGGGCATGATGGATCCCACCTGTAATCCCAGCACTCTGGGAGGCCGAGGTGGAAGGACTGCTTGAGCTCAGCAGATTAGACCAGCCTGAGCAAGAGCGAGACCTCGTCTCTACTAAAAATAGAAAAATCAGCCAGGCATGGTGGTTCGTGTCTGTAGTCCCGGGTACTTGGGAAGCTGAGGCAGGAGGATTGCTGTAGCCCAGCAGTTTGAGGTTGCAGTGAGCTACAACGATGCCACTCCACCCAGGGTGACAAAGTGAGAGTCTTGTCTCAAAATAAATAAATAAATAAATAAGTCTGACACACATGTACATTAACATAACCACGGCCACATTCAGGACACAGAGCAGCTTCCTCACCCGTAAACTGCCACACCCTGCACATTAGCAGCCTCACCCTCTTCCTACCCCCAAACTCTGACAAATGCTATAATTTTTCAAATTCATAATTTTTAAAAATATAGTATAAATGAAGCCGGACTTGGTGGCTCATGCCTGTAATCCTAGCACTCTGGGAGGTCGAGGCAGGCGGATCACTCAAGGTCAGGAGTTTGAAACCAGCCTGAGCAAGAGGGAGACCCCGTTCTACTAAAAATAGAAAGAAATTAATTGGCCAACTAAAAATATATAGAAAAAATTAGCTGGGAATGGTGGCGCATGCCTGTAGTCCTAGCTACTTGGGAGGCCGAGGCAGCAGGATTGCTTGAGCCCAGGAGTTTGAGGTTGCTGTGAGCTAGGCTGATGCCACAAGACTCTAGCCCGGGCAACAGAGTGAGACTCTGTCTCAAAAAAAAAAAAAAAAAAAAAAAATATATATATATAGTATAAATGGCATCGTATAGTATGTTTTCAGTTTTCAGACTGGCTTCTTTTATGTAGTGTAATAGTCTTAAGGTTTATCCAAGTTATTCTGTGTATCAAAAGTTGGTTCCTTTTTATTCCATGAATGTACTACACTTTGTTCATCCATTTGCCCACTCAAGGATATCTGTTTTTTTTCTAGTTTGGGGCTATCACCAATAAAGGTGCTATTAATATTCATATATAGGTTTTTATGTGAACAGAAGTTTTCATTTCTCTAGGGTACTACCATATCAGTGGGATTGTTGGGTCATATGCTAAGTGCATATTTAACTTTATAGGAAACTGCCAGGCTGTTTCTCAAAGTGGCTGCATTACTCTCTATTCCCACCAGCACTGAAGGGCGGTTTCAGCTGGATTTGCATTTTGCATTTTAGCCATTTCGAGCTGTGTGCAGTGATACATCATCATGACTTCAGTGTGCATTTCCCTGACAGGCAGTGTGGAGCATCTTCTCATGTGTTTATTGGACGTCCATATATCCTCTTTGGTGAAGTATCTTTTCAAATGTTTTGCCATTTTTAAATTATTTCTTTTCTTTTCTTCTTTTTTTTTTGAGACAGAGTCTCTCTTTGTTGCCCAGGCTAGAGTGAGTGCCGTGGCATCAGCCTGGCTCACAGCAACCTCAATCTCCGGGGCTCAGCGATCCTACTGCCTCAGCCTCCCGAGTAGCTGGGACTCCAGGCATGCGCCACCATGCCCGGCTAATTTTATATATATGTGTATTTAGTTGGCCAATTAATTTCTCTCTATTTATAGTAGAGACGAGGTCCCGCTCTTGCTCAGGCTAGTTTTGAACTCCTGACCTTGAGTAATCCACCGGCCTCGGCCTCCCAGTGTACTAGGATTATTTGTTTTCTTATTGGTGAATTTTAGAGTTCTATATATATTCTAGGAGCAATCCTTTGTTAGATATGCAATCTGTGAATATTTTCTCCCAGTGTGTAGCTTGTCATTTCATTCTCTTAACAGTGTCTTTTGGAGAGCAAAAGTTTTAATTTTGATGAAGTCCAGTTTATCATCTTTTTAAAATGAGTCATGCTTAGTGTCACGCCTAAGAACCCTCTGACTAAACCATAAGGCACAAAGATTTTCACCTCTGTTATCTTCTAAAATTTTCATAGTTTTTATTTTACATTTAGATATATGATCCATTTTGAGACTATTTTTGTATAACGTGTGAGGTCCGGGTTCATTTTTTTCCCCATGGATGTCCAATTGTTCCAACACTATTTGTTGAAACAAATAGCATATGTTTTCTATTGAATTAGCTTCTTCATTCATTCATAAAATGTGACTTGGCCATATTTTTGTGGGTCAACTTCTGGACTCTATTCTGTTCCCTTGATCTATGCATCTATCCTTCACTACAACCACACTGTCTGGATTACTGTAGTTCTATGATAACTCTTAAAATTGGATAATGTCTCACAGAATAAGAGAAAATATTTACAAATCATATATCTAATAGAGAACTTATCCAAAATATCTTACAAATAAAAAATAAAGGCCGGGTTTTGTGTCTCATGTCTGTAATCCTAGCAATTTGTGAGGCTGAGGCAGGAGGATTACCTGAGGCCAGGAGTTGGAGGTTGCTGGGAGCTAGGCTGACACCACTGCACTCTAGCCCAGGCAACAGAGCAGCACCCTGTCTCAAAAATAAAAACTAAAACAAAAACAAAAATAAAGAGACAAATAAGCAATTGAAATATGGAGAAATAATTTTAATAGATGCTTCTATAAAGAAGATACATAAATCACCAATAAACACATGAAAAGATGCTGAACATGATTAGTCACTAGGGAAATGCAAACCAAAATTATAAAGAGGGACAGGGACCAGCCTGAGCAAGAGCAAGACTGTGGGAAAAACAGAAGGATTAGCCGGGTCTGATGGCTTATGGCAGGAAGATCACTTGAGACCAGGAGTTTGAAGCTGCAGTGAGCTATGATGATGCCACAGCACTCCAGAATGGACAACAGAGCAAGACTCTGTCACAAAAACCAAAAACAGTCTAGGTGTGGCGGCTCATGCCTGTAATCTTAGCATTCTGGAAGGCTGAAGCAGGAGGATTGCTTGAGCTCAGGAGTTTGAGACCAGCCAGAGCAAGAGTGAAACCAGGCTCTACTAAAAATAGAAAAATTAGCTGGGTGTGGTGGCATGTGCCTGTCGTCCCAGCTACTCAGGAGGCTGGAGAAGGAGGATAGCTTGAGACCAGGAGTTTGAGGTTGCAGTGAGGTGTGATGATGCCACTGCACTCTACCTGGGGTAACAAAGTGAGGCTCTGTCTCAGAAAAAAAAAGGCAAATATTTCCTGTAAGGAGAGTTTTCCCCCCCCCCGTAAGGAGGGTTTGCTCACAGATATTTTGCTGAACTATTCTTAGAGAAAATTGTGGGTCTTGCATAAGCTCTATGAATAGAGAATATGTATGTAAACACAAGCAAGTATTGAGCACCTTCTGTATGCCAGACACTGCACCTGATGTTTTACTTGTGTAATGGTGCTTATCTCTTCTATGCCTGAGATGTGAGATGCTGATATTATTAGGGTTCGAGGGCAGGAGCAGCATCTAATGCCCCTCTGCTTAGCAGACAGCAGGGGCTTGCTCAGGATGCTCAGGTCCTCTTTATGGCCTGGAGGTGGGTCCTTCAGGAAGCCCCTTCCAGCACCACTGGGGTCCGTCTCCTTTCACTGTGTTCCGGGGGTGTGCCCACACACTCTTGGCCTTAAAATTGCTTGCTGACTGTCTTGGAATGCTGCGGCTGACCGCAGAGGGCCCTGGGATGCTTGCCCAGAATCTGTTCTTTCCTCACCTGGGGCTCCTTCCAGACTGGGATGAGCTGGCTCTCCCTGGTCAGCCTCACCGTTGCTTGTTCAGAAGGGAATTCCTGGCCCGCCTCAGCCTGGCACCCAGGGTCACCTTGAGCACAGTGGGCCTGCAGTGACGGCATGCAAGGCTGTGCCCCAGGCTTCAGCTCCTCGACAGGAGAGAAGGCAGCGGGGAGAGGGATGAACAGACTGGCAGAGAAGACAGAACAAGAGCACGAGAGAGGAGGCTGAGGGGTCAGGTAGAAGCAGGTACATGGAGCAGGGAGGGCAAGTCCAGCGCGAGGCTGATGAGGTGTTTGGCTGCACTGGGGAAGGCATAGAGCACTCAGTGAGGGGCGCGCCCAAGACTCCTCTAGCTACAGTGTCTGAGGACCTGTGGCCA